TAACTTTTTATTTTTATTTTTTTTTACTAAGAGGTCTTTGCTTTAAACTCAGTGGGGTGAGACCCAGAGAGCTATTAACTGAAAAGTCTCTTGTTTAAGTAAGACTTGCACCCTCCATGCCTTTGTAAATGCAGCGTACACTTGAGCAGGCCACCAGCCAAAAATCCTGATGAATCAAAGTATGGCAGCTATGCTGATATATGACGAAGTACAACTGATCAAAAATTTAAAAGCGTGTCTATTCCCCAGCATGCATCAGGCCTTCCTCCTCATCTTCCTCCTCCTCCTCCTCCCCTTGGCTTCTCTCTCTCGCACTCTCACTCCCATTCATCCTCTCCCTTTCTCTCTCTCTGTCTCTCTCTCTCTCTCTCTCTCTCTCTCGCACTCACTCTCTCGCACTCCCTCTCGTACTAAATCAAGCAAGTGGGCATAGGCTCTCCTCCAGGAGGACAAACCTTTAAGTGCAGAACAAAATCAGCATGTTCCATCCAAGCCTCCATCATACATTATGCATGCGACAAAGTTTGGCAACAGTGGAGCTGATGTGATGACACAGCTAATCAATAAGAACCCACCGCATGAAACCTTTATAGTGGTTACTTTTTAAGGGCTCAAGTGAAGGAATTGTCTTTGTCAACTTTGGCTTAAAATATCCTTATATAGTTCTGGTACTTTCTCAGGGTCCACTGGTCTAGGTAAAAAATGTGTAAATTTTTGATGCCGTTTAGTCCTAGTCCCTTCTCTTGGAGTCCCATCTTTATTTAATGCAACGTAGTATCGTCTTCCAGTGTCCACATGTTTATATAGATTTGATGAATATGTATTATACCAGTTTTCTTCAAACTGCTCTCTGAATACACACTCCTGGGTTAATTTTTCCTGTGGAAAAAGAAGAAAAAGCAGTAAGGAGATAGCCACTAAAATAAGCTTCTTGTTACAGAATTACTATTTCCATAGCTTGAAATCGGTACCTCCTTACTCGATTGTAAAATTAACCATTTTAATTCCCCCAGTTTTAGCTATGTACAGCTGTATGGCTGGGTGCAGTCACAAGGGTGGACAACTCCAGGTGAAGCAAAAATTACTCTCCCAAAGCATCACTACCCAAATCAATACAGCGACAACTAAGCTGAAAACAGCTATTTTAATTTCTGATCAATTTACTACCCTTGATTTGTTTTATTATTTGTATCATGGAGTCAAAACCCAACAGAGCTTCAGCTAGGAATACAAACCCTGCATGCTGAGATAAAGCTAGGCAAGGAAAAGTCCTCCAGGCTTGCTTTATCAGGCTTGTCCTCATGTCCTGTCCTACTGACGGGACCCACTGAACACATCAACCATTCATCAGATCCTCCTGCCACAGAATCCCACTCATTCCAGTTGATACACTTATTCAGTCTGTGTGTACTTCTCTACACACTTTTGGTGTAAACAGGTGGTATTTGCTTAAAAAGCAGCCACCTCATAACAAGATTCATTTCAGGAAGGACTCGCACAAGTGACTGATGGCTGGCACAAAAAATTGTAATAATGATAATTCAATACATTTTTTCATAACAAGAGTTCTTACTTCAACAACACTCACTTCAATAGCACTCAGCTTCCATCCGAGAATCAATTTCTAATTGTTAGAAAGCTCCACACAATGCATGTGTTTTACAGACGTTAGATCTTAAAACAGTTCTTTTAGACAGATCCACAGAGATGGGAAAACAGAGACCAAGGCCCAGATGCAGCAAAGGACCTAAGCCATAAATGTGTGCCTGAACACAGCTAAGGAGCCACAGCTCACATTCCAGTGCTCCCAAGAAGCCACCACCTTCCATGACTTAATCCAGGAGCTTCTCAAAGTCCACCATCACCGAAGCTTGCAGCTTGCCCTGTGGCTGGCAGGTGCCTTTGGGGCCACCTCTACTGCTTGAGACTCAGCTCACAACCCTTTCTTAAAGCAATGTGCTTCAGCCCAGATGTTTTGCTGCTGCTTTGCATGGCAAGCACTCTGCTCCCAGGACAGAGCTTTGCAGCCCACCAGGGTTGGGGACCAGGGATCCAGCCAGGTCCAAGGAGCTCTACACACCTTACAGAAGCCATGCAGGAACCATTCCATGTGGGAAAAGCAAACCCTGTGCAGGTGGGTAAAGCAAGCCAGCACCCCTCTGCACCTGCACAAACTGGGTACTGAGCTGCAAAGCCAGGGTCCTCCTCAGTGTCTAAAGGTTTTTAGATTCGGAGGTTTCTTCTAAATTCAACCTGTGGCAACTCCAGTAGGCAAGAAAGGCAGCAAGTAAGCAGCCCCTGACTTCCCATTTCATGGGCACTGAGTACCTCGTTACCACTCAGGAAGGAGAAATCCCTGACAGGAACAGGGTTCACATGTTAAACACTTGAGAATTCACTATGGCAGCAGCCATATCCCTGTGTGGATGTAACAACTTCATTTAGAGGTGTTTCTGACTACAACTTAATTTTTAATGTTCAAAGTAGCTCAAACCAGCAACACTCTATACTGGTTACAGAGAAAAGATGCACAAATCTGTTCACATTAAATTCCTATCTGTGGGCCAGACCCTGCAACCTCCTATTGATAATTGCCTTGATGTCCTTTGCCAGCTCAGAACTGCAGCTGCAATGAGTATTGCCACACCAGCAGCAGCTGCCAGTTACACCCATTGCAGTATCCCCCTCAGTGTACAAACTATTATAAAAAGTATTCAGCTGCAATATAGACTATCTTTAAGTACAGGTTTCATTAGTGTTTTATTTTGCATGAGGTTTAATATCACTTTGTTTGCTTTAAGGCAGAAGCAGATGCTAAGGGCTTATTATATGCTGGGAATATAGAGGTCCATGGGGAAGGAGAAACTAATTCAAATTGTTTTCCTGCTCTCCGAAGGCAATAGGATCACATGACAAGCACTGCAGAAGCACTCCTTGCTAAAAATAGCAACATTTTAGGAAGATATTTCAGTCCTATCTTCAATTCATTAATTATTCACTTCATCTGCATTTTTTTTAGCATCATCATAAATTCTATCTCTGCAAGAACAGTACTTCCCCATGCCCTGAAGGAGAAATTTTAAAATAGCCTCTCTTTATCTGGCAGGTTTGATGGATCAAGACACTGCTGTGGTACATTTAACTAGCAGACCTTGAATCAGGGGATTTGCATTGTACAGCACTCTGGCTGAGTTCAATGGATTTCAAATTCAATCTCTATTTTACAAGCTTATCCTGGTTTTACTTTTCTTTCACTTAACACACAGTTACATCTCATTTGCCCTTATTCAAAATTCTCTACTGTATAGAGAGTAGGCAAATACTTCAATATGAACTTGACAGAGTAGTCAGATTGTGGGATCAGATGTGTAAGGACACTAACAATCACCCTTTCAGAGAAGTGAAATAATTTCTTTCAGAGAAGTGAAATAATTTCTTTATAAATTCATCAAACCTTTTCCTTCAAGGACACCTAGAAATTCTGGTTGTAGTCAGAGACCCCTGCAGTGAATTGGTGTTGATGACATTGAGTTGTAGTCAGAGACCCCTGCAGTGAATCGGTGTTGATGACTTTGGATTAGACCCTGTAAATAATGTGGGACACTAAAATCTCAGCATATCCTTCTTCCCATGCCCTGGGAGATGGTTATGATAATGGCTCATCTAGTACCACAACAAACAGAAACCAACATCCACCAGGATAGTCATCTATGTAGAATCATAAGAATCACTTAGTTTGGAAAATACCTTTAAGATCATTCAGTCCAACCACTATTCTAATGCTGCTGAGTCCAACCATTAACCTAACACTGCCGAGTCCCACCACTAAATCATGTACTACCACAATCCTACATAACACTAGCTTACACTCATGTTTTAAGTATGCATGCCTTTATTCAAGCCAAAAATGAGCATAACACGGGGGTGAGGCTGGTCCATCCTGCCAACAACACCTTCTTGTCTCACCAGCTTAGGATGAGAAAGTCTTGCTGAAAGCCAGCTCTCCCAAAATGGAAAGGACATGGTGTTTCCTGATCACAAGTGGCTTGCATTTCTCTTTCTGCCTATGACTTTTAGAAAGTCCCTCTATGCACAGTTGAAAAGCAAGATTCAGTCCTAGAATACAGCAATTTTTGCATGCTTTTATTCTAGCAACTGACTTCTCTATCAATTTTCCAGTGCAAATATTTCCTTGCACCATACTTAAAGTTGCTAGACATCTTTGTCAAAAGCTGACACAAATACCAAACATACTCAACTGGAACAGCTATGGAAAGTAACCTGCATTCCTGTGAAAGAGAAGGCTGCCTGCATTGCTCAAATCATTTAATTCAGGGCCAAATAAGGAGGTGACCTCAAAATTATATAAATCAGATGTTGCACCACATTCCACATGTTTTCTATGAGGACTGTTCAGAGTATTCAACGACAAAGTGATTGATTTCCATTATACTACATTCCCATGCTTTACCTTTCCCTTCCTACATTCTCCACCATCTAACAAGGCAGAAAAATAATTATGTTATCCCATTTCCAGGCAGATCGATTTAAAGTGAGATTGCAAATTAGTAAAGTACATGTTTACAGTCACTACAATGAAAGATTTGCTAGCTTGCCTACAAATAGCTATCCCTGTGAAGCAGCTAATTGTAAATAAGCAGAAATACACGAAACAGATGTACACTGCTCAGAGAATGGTTTCATGACTCTAAAGAACATAAGACATTTGCGCTGCTTGGTAGCTGAAAGAACAGTACAAAACACTTCAATATTCTTTATTTCTTTTGAATAACCTTATGGAGCTAAAACTCCAACTTAGTTCGTAACCTGACAAAAAAACCATCACTCCTAAAATGACAACAAATACCTTTCATGCCTAGCAAAACATCACTCCTGACAACAAATACCTTTCATGCCTAGCTAACTATTCTCTTCTATGCCATGTATAGTTTTCCCTTTTGCAAACTGCTCACTGATTCAATAGAGACAAGAAAACAACTAATCCAGAAGTCAACAACTATTAACAAGAAGTATATCTGACGCAGTCAGCACTTCCTACCTACCTGCTGCATGTTATCACCATGTTAATCTACCTGACAACAAATACCTTTCATGCCTAGCTAACTATTCTCTTCTATGCCATGTATAGTTTTCCCTTTTGCAAACTGCTCACTGATTCAATAGAGACAAGAAAACAACTAATCCAGAAGTCAACAACTATTAACAAGAAGTATATCTGACGCAGTCAGCACTTCCTACCTACCTGCTGCATGTTATCACCATGTTAATCTACCCTGTCCTAATAAAATCATGTTTAAATACATAATCTCCTAAATAATTTCATTTAAATCCCTCATTATGGCTACATGGCATTAATAAAAACTGCATATGTAGCAAAGAGAAACTGTTCTGTCTATTAACACACACATTTTACATGCCGTTGGCCCTTCCCATGCTGTAATGTAAACAGCCTCTAGAACGCACCATGTTCAGCTAATAATTAACACTCATCCAGAGCTGTCATAAATAAAGGCCTAGTTTAGCATTTGCTGTGGTATTGTCTGAACTCTCATGCTAAGCCTGTTAGTCTCTGGGCTGGGTAAACAACCTCCAGCCACAATGAGAAGCCAAATACCAGTGTCCAAGCAGCACCACTTTCCTTTCCAAATTTGACGTCAGTGCAAGGCAAGCCCTGCACACTGAGTGTCTGACTTGGTGAGTGCCACAGAGCTTTCTCTGATGAGTATCTCCAAGCAGTGTTTTTTTCAGAATGTTTTGTTTAATAATTCGACAGAACATGAAAAAGAAAAAGAAGGAAAAAAAGGAGATAAACGTCTGCCAGAAGGACTATTTGACTGGCTTATTGTGTTTGCGTCAGT